ATAAAAATAATAACAATATATTATTTTTGGCCAAGCAGTGGTTCTAGAAAATAGAATTAAGGTTTAGGTTGAGTACTGGCATTTCAACAAATGGTATAATTTTTCAGCTATTTTATTATAATGATTATACACAATTTTTTAATTGTTTTTACGTTAAAACAATTATTGTTAATAAACAGGGGCTCAAAACGCATTATGGTAAATATTACATTGTTTGCTTTAACCAAAAACATATTAAGCCGTATGCATATTTTGGTCGTCAATCAAAAGAACCAACTAAACCAACAATCAACCCACCAACAAGCTAATGCTCATTATTGGCGATGCTTAAAATAACAATAGTAATAATATTATTTAAGCTAATGGAATAAATAATTTGGATTCTTAAAGTTGTATAGAAACCCTATTTTATTATTACCGTTATCAAAAAATGAGCACCATTTGTTGTAAAGTGTTATACCTATACTTAACGTTAAGTTTGTTTAGAAAAAAATGTCATCATTATTTAGGAGTATAAAATTTACTAAAAAAGCAAAAACCATTGTTCTTTAGTTAAAGATTTGAATTTGTTTTAAATAGTTTATTTCAGTAGGTATTATTATATGTAATTTAAATTCTTAAAATAATTAGTAGGTAATTACTAGTAGCCTAATAAAAATATTACAAAATAAAACAAATAAAGTATTTTTAATGTAGTAGTATCTATACGTAAAAGGAAAAAAAATGTATCAATAAAGGATCATTATTGTCTGTTGTCGATTATAGTACCAAAATTACTATACCTCTTGTAATATTTTTAAATCTTTATTTGAATTGATTAAATTCTTGATTTTTGTTTCTTGTGATGTAAATTTTTTTTCAAATTCTATAAGTTTTTTTTCCCATGATTCATTTCTTTTTTGCAATTTTCTAATTTCGTCCTTTGTAATAAGACATAAATTAGTTTAAAATTGACTTTGGATCGTATTTCTCATACTTTAGCTATTTTCAGTAGATTATTCCGCTCTTGAACTTCTTTCTTTATATCAACCCATACATTTTCTTGTCTTTTTAGTTTTGCGTCTAAATCATCATTGGTATCTTTTAACCTCTTATTTTCTGTTTCATACTCAGTAATCTGTTTGTTAATAGCATTTTGGCACTTCTCTTGTATATCCTCAATTTGAGCTGTATGACTTATCTTCATCGCTTCAATTTCTGATTCCATAGCTTCAAATTGATTTTTTGATTTTTCAAGTTCTTGATTTAGTCGATAGTTTTCAGTCTTTAATTTTTGATTTTCCGCTATAAATTCACCTTCATTACCCCTTTGCAGTCTTTAACAGTCATAATATAATTTAAAATAATTAAATATTCATAGAATATAATTTGTATGATGGTGACATATATTATATAATCACACTTAACAATTTAAACAAGATTTATAATTTGAAATTATTGTGTTGTATAAGAAAATAAATTATTTTGATTTAACGAGGTATGACTTATAAGGTTCTAAAATAATAGAGCCGAGTCAACGATAAGAGCTAAATATACAATAAATTATTATTACATATAGTTTTCACTGCAAAAAACTGTAACTGATAATGATAGAAAAACGCTTAAAATGTCTTTATTAATACTATTCCGAGGTAATACTAAGTGATGTATATATTCGGTATCACAATACACTTTGAATTTAATGATTATAATTTGTAGCTATTTAATTATTTTTTTAATTTTAGCATAACTATAAAACTGATCACTTAAGAGTCTGTTAAGTTCAACCTCTGAAATAGTAAATTGTTTTTATAGGTATGTATCGATGGCACAGTGCAAATGTGCGTTAATTTTTTGTGAATATCAAATGACGTTAAACGTTAATGACGTAATTAAATGACGTTTTATAGGCTATATAGTAATAGATAACTAATTCTTCTTATACCTTTCTACATATCGATGGTGAGACGGCAAAAGCGTCTAAGCGACATATTTCATAGTTATCAGGATGGCCACTAAACGTTCTTTTTGTGATTTTACTATTTTTTTTAAGTTCCCAATAATTTTTTTTTAGTAAGAATTGGGAATTTTTCAATCATATAGTTATATTATAATATAGGTATATGAATTATAATATATTGATCTAACTAATAGTGTAAGCCGTGTCGCTTAGACCCTTTTGCTGTGTCACCATCGATATAGCGTTCAATGAAATACAAAGATAAGAATATTTACCACGAGAGCTCTGGGACATAATAAAATAGACTACTGTTACAATCAAAAATGAAATCCGTTGGACAAAACTGGTTTAAATTTTAAATGTTTTGTTCGAACGGTACTCACAAATCTTCTCGTTCTTCAGCTTCCGTTTTCATTCGGGTTACTTCAGTTACTAGCATGTATTGACTTTTAAAACAATTTTTCAATTCATACTGACATTTTCGATGTAGTTCCTCGTCACACTCAACCTCCAGTTTTTTTACTGGTTCTTTCTAAAAGTATATAAATTATAATAGTATTTTTAGACTTGTACTTATAATAAAAGATGTTTAGTTCGGGTTCAGAAAGTTCCTCGTTCAAAGTATTCGTAGTCTTATTAAGAATGCCGAATTTACTACAAATCAGCTAATCCAGCGGTTTTTTTTAAACATCCTTTACATTTGGAAAATATTATAAAAATCTATAAGGACATGAACCCATACATACACACACACACACACACATATATATATATATATATATATATACTAAACAGATTTTTACTACTTTTTTTGCGTTATCTATAACTAAAATCAATTGAGCTGCAATAATTGTAGTTCATTTATTTCTATGCCACGTAACTTCTCATGTGAGAATATTTATATAAAATAAAAAATGTTAGTAAAAAATTAGAATGTGCGTTATTTCTTTAAGCAATTTTTTTTTTGAGATGAAATGATTTTTCTTAATCAACTTTTTTAACTCATTCAAATTCCCAAATTTTCAGTTATAAATATAAGCAAAATTAAAATAAGATAAAAATAAACCCCCTAGAAGGTCGAAATAATGTCAGAAAGAATGATGGACTTGTTTTTTCGTTATTTAAAACTAATTGCAGGGGGTAAATCAAACACTGAACTCAACATATGGAACGTATGTTTAGATTGAAAAATATCCCGACCTGGATGGCCGCCATTTTGTGTACCAATTTCATAGAAAGTAAAAATGTTATGTTACTTTTCCATGATGTATATATATTTAAATATTAGGTAAGGTGATAATAACTGCGTCAAATATTTGATAAATCATAGAAAAACTATAATTTTTATTGAAAAATGAAAAACTTTTCACAAAAATCAAAATTGTAGAGCATCCTAATAGTGGACATATACCCGTTTTATATATATTTCACTTACGTTAGTCTCCATGACTTTTTTATGTCCTTAATTTGCTAAGTATGTTAATTTCAGTTGGTATTTTCTGCGTCAAGTAATAATTTGTACGAACAATTTGAAAAACTTACCAGATTCCCAAATTACCTAAAACATAAACTAAAAAATACAAAACATTAAAACGTTATTTTTTTGCTCTTGTAGCAGAAATTACAGTAGAAGACGATTAAAGTAGACAACTATGTTATTAAAAAAATATCATCTACTCGTATACGCTTGATACTTCAAAAACTCAAAGAGAGAGCTTAATTATAATTAATAGTTCTGTAGGATGCCTCTTCACCCCTCTCCCCAATTATTACTGCTTTTATTTCTGAGGAAAGTTTACCTTGTGCTAAAAACTGTGTATCAGTCATCCAGTTGACAATCCTTGGATCATTTAAATGTACCAATATTCCCTGACGCGTACCGAATATGTAACAGTGTTACAAATTAAAATTTACAATAATTGTAGAACAAAATATTTATAGTAATTGTTTGTTTTTTAAATAAAATAAAATAGAAAAACCCATTTATATAGAGCCAACAAATAATATTATTGTTGTTTGATTATTTATAATAGAAATACTTAGAAATGTATTTTATAAGTATATCAAAATATAAAAAAGTACTAATTAAAAGTTTAACACATCCTATATTATTGACAACTACATGTTGCCCATCGGTTACTATCATCAATACAGATGTCTTTTATGATCAATTTACTCTATTATTTTAAATAACAACTATCCACTAGAATACATTAAATTTTAACCTAAAGTGTTATTTTCATTAGAAGGTCAACTGACAAGGTAATAGTGTCTTTACGATTAAAATATTTTAAAACTTGACACACTGAAAATATATGCAGTATTCTCATAAATGACTAATCATGAAAAAAAAAAACAGTACAAATTTACTTCGTTAAGTAAATTTGTTAAAGCCACTAGGCCAGTGCAAAAAATGAAAAGAAAGAGTACTATCTTAAAATAAAAGTACGTTTGATCACCATAATTAAAGGTCAGATAAAATATTGTCTTAAATAAAGAAAATATTTATTGTCCGTTCCCCAGTATTGGAAAAAGGTTTTTTTGTTTTCCCTTTTTATTAACTACTTAAATTTTTCAGTTTTAGGTATAGTATTTGGATTTTTTAGTCTTAAGTTACGCTAAATACGTGATGCTCTTATATCTACCTAAAAAATATATATTGAAAAAAATCTTTGATCAACCTTTTGTAAATAGGAAAATTAACAAAATCAAAACGATTTTTAATATAATATTAAATATTTTATACCATTTATGCACCGAGTAATGGAGCGTTTTTTTTCGTGAGTGATTTTTATTTTTTTCATTAAAGTACTATGTATATACTGACCATGTTGGCTTTTTCAGTTTATGAGGCTCTCCGTTTTTAATCAGAAATATTATTTTTGTTGTTTATTTGTATAGGTTCGACAATGCAGGGAACGGAGAACGATCCGATTTTAAAACCGAGAGACAAACAAATAACAACAAGGATGCCCGTAAGTCGGTAAGTCACCAACGTTTTATGGTAACCACATAGCGCCGTGTCTTCAGTCGACAGCCACGCTGATGCTCTGCCGTTAGTATTGCTTGCACCGTTTGCCGAGCAGGTTGTACGTTGTCCTCATCGTTGAACAGACACACACTCTCCGTTTGCATTGTCGCGTCGTGCCGGCCATGTGGTCCAAAACATGGTTCATATTGTGCGTTTCCTCCGTGTTGGCAGGTATGGTTCATATTTTTTTATAAACATTTTAACGAAAAAAAAAAACCGTCATGTATTTGTTTGTTTTTGGCGTTTTAAGTCGAATATATGTTATATGCCTACTTGTTAACGCCAACGGCTAAACCAATTGTTAGTTTTATTTAAAGAAATAACAAATACAATTTAAAGACAATAAATACAAACTAATATTATTATGGTATTGGCAATAATAAATAATTAACACCACTGCCTCTTCTTTGGGTTTCTTCGCGAATGATAAATAAAGCTGTATCTAGTAAATAAATTATCAATTATAACAATTATAAAGTACTTATAATTCGAACTTTGAGACAAGAGAGGCCTCTTGCAAGACATCGATTCTCACAACTGCCGTAGTATTTAAGATATTATTTATCATTTAACCCCAAAAATATTACAGGGTTAAAATATTATAATTCATAGTATTCAAAATATATAAGAACTACTGTAAAACCGTCATTAGTTAGGTATAAGGGAGGGTAATGTTATTATTTTAAGAGGTAAAAAATGTTCTTTCTAAAAAAAAATATGATGTACAAACATTTAAGTAACACTATTTTAACTAAAAAGCATGTATTATAGTTTTACAGTTTACTTAAACTATAAATTTATCGAACGTATGTCCTATACTTCTATTTAGTAGGTATAACAATAACCCATTAACATAACTCATTTACACACTTAGTGGTGATCAATCAAGTATACTTACCACTACAACATTTACTGTACCTACACTCTACAATAGTTAATTAATAATTATAAATAAGTATGTACAGTGTACATAGTAATATTACTCATATACATACTTTATATTTTAGTGTACATTTTACACTAAAATAAGTCTTTTTTTTATTATCGAACTTCGATTATAATTGTGAATTCACATTAAAACAAACATTTTTTGTGTACTAAAAAGTTATACCTGATACCAGGATAGTTACTAACTCTGAATTCCGACTATCCATAGACCTAAACATTTACTAACAAAAAAAGCTCGCTACCAATAAGTAAGATGGTAAGTTTTAACTTACATAGAAACACTAACTAGTAGTATAAAAATATACACGAACAAGCTAGTGGACATAACTGTCAAAGCTTCAGAAAAAATAATATGTAGATATTTACAAGGTTAGGCATTAGCGCATTAGTAAGTTAAAATAAAGTTGTTTTTTAAATTATTTAGCTAAACTAATTTGACTTAGAATGAACTAATAATTATAACTTTAAATTAACAATAAGCCGATTTTTAAGTAATTAAATGTATTTAAAACTATTTTAATCCTTCTTGTAATAATTATAGCACCAACGTGGTTAAAGTATATTAATATTTCTTTATACCAAACGATTTCGAATAAAGCGTCTTTATAAATAAAGATATTTTACCTACATACATTTAAAATTCGTCGCATCGTTTTTATTAAAAAGCAAATACTACGTAATATATTATCGTGCCAGGTGACTTTTTACATTTTGAAATAACTATAATTATTGATTTATATTGAGGTACTTCCTAAAAAAAAAAAAAGATTACCTATTTGCTAAATTTTGCTAAATGTCTATTTTGTAAATTTATTAAAACTACTGGCGGAACAAACGAGTAACGACACTGAAGTAGCGATATTGCCTATTTGAAACGCCGGTTTACTACATTATTATTTATTTAACTCAGACAAAAAAAATAATTAACTGACGTCAGATTTCAGAATATTCTTTACCATTCATTTTTTAATTTTTTATTTTATCGGATTTAATACTCTACATTATTACCAAAAAGATGTTTGAGTAAAATAAGCATTAACATACATCAACTAAAATTAGTTGTAAAGAAATAATGATAAAACGAGGTGAATCCTGGTCATCTACCAAATTGTATAGTTTTTTCAACAGTATTTCTTTGAAAAATTATAACGATCTTAGAATGCTCATTTAATTTTGACAATATTGTATTTGTTCGATTTAGTGGAAGTTAACTCTAAACCTATACAAATCTTTTTGCGTGACTATGTTTTTATTCTAAAAAAACAAGGGATGTATAACATTATTTTGAATTTAAAATCTACGATTTTGTTTGGTGTTAAGTATAGTAAAAACGTTTTCTACAAACCGAAACTAACAAAAAAATTAATGACTTGAGTCGCCAAAGCTGAAAAAAAAATCTTTAAAATTTGTGACTTCGCCGATCAATATGGTCTGTTCCACTATACACCGACCTCACTGTACTGTTATTTTTATTTTGTCAGTTTTTTGAAACTGTACCAAAGAATTAAGGTAAAAAGCTTTTCTTTAAAAACACAAATTTATTTCTAGAATAAAGAGTCTGTTGTTTACAACGTACTTAATGTACACTTTTAAATGTTCACTTTATACACGATAAATGGTCAAATCAGTTTACATGTTTTTGCTTTTTTTTTCAAGTATATTAAGGGTAAGCAGAAGTGTACATAGACACGTGTAATTAGTATAACTATTTAACACGCCAAAAAGTTTTAAGACATATTATTTTCTTATTTATTTTCTTTGTACAAAAAAAAAAAAGAACATAAATGAGCTACATTTTTCTAACCTTTTCCTTACCCATATGTTCTTTATACGAGGTTATCATTTTCTATCAGCTAACCCTCTTACATATTTTCCCTTTATTAATAAATCAATTTTGACAATTTGATCCTCATAAATAGATCCTTTTTAAAAATGTCTATTGTACGACAACCTACAGCATGCTTTGAACGCAAAATATATTCTACGTTTTATAATTTTACATATGTAAGGACTGAAGACAATTTTTAGTTTAAAAACATTGTTTTATAGACTAGAAGTATATATTTAGGCATGAAGTACATAATAACTGTAACGTATAGGGGATTTTATTGGATAAAATGTAAAATTTACATTATGTAAATAACATTAAAAATATCTTTACACAAATTATTTTCCATAAAGGATTTAATATATAGTCGTTTTGTTGAAGCTTATACTAGTTGATTTATTGGCGATTATACGCAAGACGTAACAAATTCTGTAGGCCACGTCGTATAGAAATTAGCGTGTGGAAGTAACATAGAGGTGTCTTTCGATTTCATTAATATAACATTTTTTATGAGCTTTTTTTACGATCTTATGGGTACAAATTAATTTTTGGATAGACGTATTGCTTGCGTTTTCCTGGCTGGTATAATTACAACATTAAAGAAAGTTTGGTTTTATGTATTTTTTTGAGTGTGTAATAAAAACAGAAATGGACGGTTAAAAGTTAACAACGAAAAAAAGGGGGACCTGAGTAGCAACGAGAATTAATTTAGATGAAAAATGGACAAAAGACCCGGATGTCCATATAAATAAGGTATGAGTTCATTTGGTTTTTAATGGGTTTTCAGAATAAATAATTGTCTGGACGTATGCTGTGGTGGCGGTATATGTTGCAAATGTTTGATCATATAATATATCAAATCCATTGCAGTAAAATAACGAATAGAAATAACAGTATCATTAAGTGTAAATAAATATTAATAACATACTATTTAGGTGTTTTTTTTTTTACTCAGCATCTACTAAAACATACTACAACTGACTACCTAGTACATTTATCAGTTGTACTTAGTACTTAATTATTTAATTAACACTATCGTCTATTAAATAATCAATTCTATGGAATGTTTACAGTAAATTATTATAGAAAAATCAACGTTTCATCATTGATAAAATAATAATTTACAATTCTTAAATTTTCTTAAAGTAGTTAGATGTTTTTTTTACTTAAGACAATACGCACTCTATATTTAAAAAAAAAGGTTGGAGCCGTTTTATAAATCAAAGATATACAGTTTAATTCGTTAAGGACAAGACACACATTCTCATAGTATTTCTTAGAAATAATTTCAGTCTGAGAAAATTGAGAATTCGTAGAATTATGTATATGTGTGTAATATTATATAATAAAGATATTTCAGAAAACCCGTTTTTACACTCACAGAATTTGCCTTACCGTCGTGTTTAGTCATCCAAACTAATTGCGTATTCCAATTGTGCAAGTAAAACAAAACGGTTTACTTAAATAATAAGTGAATTCATGAATACGTTCTCGTATATACATCTAAACTCCACCGGCTTGAAAAAATAAAAATTTACATTAATCAAGTATATATATTTTTACATAATAATATACTTAAGCTTAAAATAGAATAGATGGTTACATTTATTTTATCTAAAAGCTCAATGTTATTTTTATAGTAATACAATGTTAAAGTCAGAAATTAATTCACTATTTTAAATTAGATAGTATTAGTCCAAAAGAATAATGTTAAATTTTTTAATTATATCAAGTTTATATCAATTAAGTTACTTAATAACGTTAAGAAATCCCAATGTGTTGTCGATGTTTTTCAACAGATTAGTTAGTTAGAAATAATTAGGTGATTTATTAATCATATGACACTGATTTATTATGTCAGATATTAAGACACAATAGATGAGGCTTCGAATTTAGTTTGATTTGATTTCCTCACACTACAAACAGAAACTGTATGGTCACCATGTCTGCTATGTCTGCTATCTCACTATGTTTACTTAATTTAGAGGGAGGGGGTGGTCGTTGGGGTTGTCAGAAATGCCCATAGGTATATCGATATTACCATACATTTCCATATTTCCGTCAGTGCTTGATTGTATTCATGTGTTTATAATAACTGTATTTATATATGAAAATTACCCTAAGCACAAGGGGAATAGAAGTACTCACTGAATTCCATGAACGGTCTTAAACCCCGAACAGACTTCCCGATATTAGAGTTCCGACTATGGTTAATTATTTTGGTCCGAATGAAAAGTCAATAAGTGGTCTTAGGACCGTCCGTGGAAGTCAGTTAGTACTTTTTGTTATTGGGGTATTTAATTAAAATTAAATATGTTGTACGCTTATTTCTTTGGCCTCAGGTAGAAAGGGATTAAGTTAATTAAAAAATTACATTAAAAGAAAATACTATTTT